GTAAGTAAGTAAATAAGTAAGTAAATAAGTAAATAAGTAAGTAAATAAATAAATAAGTAAGTAAATAAGTAAATAAGTAAGTAAATAAGTAAATAAGTAAGTAAGTAAGTAAGTAAGTAAGTAAATAAGTAAGTAAATAAATAAGTAAATAAGTAAGTAAATAAGTAAATAAGTAAGTAAGTAAGTAAGTAAGTAAGTAAGTAAATAAGTAAGTAAATAAGTAAATAAGTAAGTAAATAAGTAAATAAGTAAGTAAGTAAATAAGTAAGTAAATAAGTAAGTAAATAAGTAAGTAAATAAGTAAGTAAGTAAGTAAGTAAGTAAGTAAGTAAATAAGTAAGTAAGTAAGTAAGTAAATAAGTAAGTAAATAAGTAAGTAAATAAGTAAGTAACTAAGTAAGTAAATAAGTAAGTAAATAAGTAAGTAAGTAAGTAAGTAAGTAAGTAAGTAAGTAAGTAAGTAAATAAGTAAGTAAGTAAGTAAGTAAGTAAGTAAGTAAGTAAGTAAGTAAGTAAGTAAGTAAGTAAGTAAGTAAGTAAGTAAGTAAGTAAGTAAGTAAGTAAGTAAGTAAGTAAGTAAGTAAATAAATAAATAAATAAATAAATAAGCCTGCATTTCTCCTCGTCTTAGGCTAGTAGTGTGCCAGATATTTAGTGGTTTAGTGGTTTACATAAAAATAAACTATTACGATTTGTTTGCAAATAAGAAATTATCTTATACCATGCTCGCTTCTTATTATATGTATATACTGTAATAAATTTAAACTTGTTTGTGTATAATTATCCAAGCATTGAATTGTATGTGTATAAAAGTTACAGAACATACTTGGGTACATTGTTCCGATAACATATCAAGTGTAAAGGGTAATTGTACTTTCTTTATATCTTTATATCACGCCCTCTATCAATGAATAGTGGCGTATATGTTGAAAGGAGGCCCTCTGAGGGGACATTGTTTGCAGCGTCGCCGTTAATTGCTTTAATACAAAAATGGGTTTGTGATGTGTTTACTTCAATTCTATAACTGAAATGTAATTGATTTTACAGAATTAGACATCCTTGGCTCCTGATCTTAAAATTGTGAATAATATAACTATTCATCAACTAAACAGGTCATAATAATGTAGTTAAACAATAAGTGTTTTTGCAATATGTATATAATTTGGTTTGTTGGTATGTTTTACATATAAATGCACTAAATCTTGTTCTTTTAAAATTGCCATAAACAAATTTCTAATCTTCCTGTAGACTGATATTCCGAATACATCACATGTCTAATTAAGGGCGTTTAATGATGTGCACGGTTAAGTCTCACTTAGAATATACATTTCACAGGGGGTGTTATTTAGAATAACAAAAAAGAATATAAGTTTGTTCTTATGTCTTTAATACGCATGTATGTTACCAAGCGACGAGTGTATCTTTAATCCCAAACTCTTGTATACTTTAACACTATTATAATTCCCGGCTTGTGTATTTGTCATTTTATCTGTAGCTCTCAAAGGGTCAGCCATGAAAATAATGTACGAGGGAGATTTTACCGTGTCTTAGTCTTAATGATGAACAATGAATCCGTAATGTCTACGTCACGGAAGAGCTTCGTCGCTTAGTGGGTTAGCGGAATTTTTGTCGACAGTAGTTTTCAAATTATGTTAAAAAATTAGAACTTTTATCCCATATTTTGGTTTGTTGTTATCGTCAATAACAATATTTGTATCACAACTTTTTTACCCTACTTATGACGAGAAAAAATACGAGATCACGTGGCGATACATTGTACCGTGTAACCAACTGAAGCAGTATACTAATACTGCAACTTTGCCGCATGGCACTAAAAAACGAAAGATTTACATAGAGTTATTGGCTGCCCAAAGAGGGCGGCAGAACAACGCGTCACAGTGAGTTATTTGTCTACAGGCTGGTCAAAAGACCAACAATCAGTGTCGTTTGCATGACTGCTTGAGGCAAATTAATGTGTATGTACCTGACCTAATAGTGGAGATGGTAGTGACAACTCGGATAAACAAACATACATTCAAAACCTCTACCGGATGATTTAGTAGGGTTTATAGAAATCTATATAGCACACAGGCGGTACGAAGTCCAGTACCCATCTGACTTAACCAATTTTATAATAAACTTAAACGTGACAACTGAACACAAGCAGGCCCTCAAAGCGACATTATCATTGTTTAGAACAACATAAGTTATTTTATATGGGATTTGTAAGACACAATACCACTCCGTGTTTAGCGAGGATTTGACCTCCGTTCAGTAATCGATATTGGCCTTGTCCCCACACACACTAGTAGACACACTAAACACGTCTGATCGGCACCTATGAAGGCGTTTTCACTTTTCGGTTTTAACGTGAATGAACACGTTGCGATTCTTAATACCACGGATTCCCCTCCATTTGAAAACAGTTTATGCCTCAAATGTAAAATATAATATATAACTTCGATTGTTTATTTCACTTAAACATTATTTTAAATATAAATGAATTATTAACTTATTAGAGAAAAATAAACAACAACAAAACGTAAGCTTTGGTCGTCGATGTCTACTAATTGTACACGTAAAATTATTACAAATTTTCTTTGATGATTAATTCTAAGCAATTTAAGTTGTTTTAAATTACTAGTACCTGCTATAGAGTCCGGTTAATTATTAATTGCGAAAAATTAAAGAAGTGTCCCCACCTCCCCCTTAAACATAATACCATCGTTGCCATGGAAACATAATCTAGTTTTATGGCATGGCTCAATGACGCGTACGTTGTAAAAACGACACTGGCCGGTGTGACGTACTGTTTTATGTTAGAACAAAGCACACTGGGTTGAAGTGTCACAGGTCGGCTACTGCAAACAACGTTTTTAATGCTTATACGGGGGCTCGGGTAACCAATCGCGTATGGGTTATTCGGGTCAGAACTATGACAACACTACCCTATCGTCGAAGCTAGCAGCTCGCGCAATATACGGCACGTTGAGGCCGTGCCCAGTGTACAATGCCACCCCTTTCGACATTGCAGCGATATATCAAACTTTCCGGGGATATATACACAAAGAGAGCCTAGTAACAATGAGCTGACTCGGGAATCGGTCAGACATCGTGTTTCCGACAGTGTGTTCTAAACACCTCCTCAGGTAAGCGAGTTTTACACAGTTCACCTGTCGATTTCCAACCAGACCGTGTCTCGCACACAATTAAGTAATCGTTGCCATGGGAATCCAATTAGTTAACTATAAACTGTCTTAACATACAAAACCATTAATGTAAACGATTTGGTTGAGATCCGAATTTCACCCTTTCAACGCGAAGTTATTATTTGTTAAAATATACCTGATGTAAACAAACTCCAAAATGTTACTACTCCAAAAGGACTAACTCCAATTGAATAATCGCAACCTATGTCATTACGGGTGTCGTGTTGTCTTCGTCTTGACGGTTAGGTGCTCGGGCCAAATACCGAAGCGCCTTTGATGGCAAAACTTTGTGCTTGCTTTGTGGTGGTTCTTTAAAATTGAAGACTTCGACATTACACCGATTAAACAATATGTAAGACGATATGTTTTCTCCCTTCAGGCATCGTGATTGAGATATCTGTGCTAAATCGTCGGGAACTAGAGAGCTTGATGGAGGACGTGGCTGCCGTGGGGAACTAACCATCGATTGACTACTTAGACAAGTGTGTGTGTGTTGCGGACATAGCGACGGGGCAACTCAATACAGTATTCCATATATAATAGGTGAGTACTCCCATTTAAATGACAAACGTGTTGTAGTATTAAATACAGCGGCCATTGCTTTCCCTTTGATATCTGGTCAAAGAACCGATTGTATTGCACGTAATACGCGCTCTTTGTTGACCGAGATAGAATTCGCGCTACGGCTACCGTGTAGTGTCGGCTGACGGTTGTTAAGTGCCAACAATGTCGAGCAGCGAGTATAGCAGCACATAGCATAACAGTGAGACAGTCACGCTTTCAAGAATTCTTAAACAACACACGTGTTAAATTGGTAGCCCCACTCCAGCACATGTAACATGAATGTGTTCCTAACTCCCTGGGAACAGTGACCACATCGCCCCGAGTCAAGCACGTAAACATGCCACCCGCTGGTAGTTAAACGATACTGTCGACGATACTGTCTTGTACTTTGTGTTTTTCCCTTACATATATATTTAAATTAACTACTTCATGGTGATGTACACTGCGCCATTACAGTTCATTCAGACATTTCCGTCTGTTTTATAGACTTATTTGTAAAGGTTACGTGCCATTGATTTATATTATGGTGTTCGCTGGTAGCTTGCCATTTGGCACCCTAATAAAAACAGAGTTGTGCGGGCATCCAGAAAAGAATATTAGCTCCTGCGTTATGAATTAGAAACATAAAGCAAAGTAGTTTGCAAATATGGAGACAAGTGTCAATACATTGCACTATTTTTTCTGTGGTTAGAGGGTCTATTGTTGCACCACTGCACTCAATCATTGCTCAATTACAAAAAAAAAAAAATATAATTTTCTGGACAATACCCCCGGTCCATCTTTCAGTGTTGCAATCATATATGATTCGCGTTATAACGTTAATAGTCAAGTATGAGGGATATATTTAACGGGGTTGAGCTCAGTAAGTGATGGGCCCGGCATGACCCTGACGTCGACCGTGTAAATGCATCGGGGCACGCACAAGAGATAGTCCTCTACTAATTGGTGACAGGAACAACAGTTCGGGTCCGATAAAACTTTGGAGTGTGAACCTAGTATAGGGCATCATATGAACCGATATGGTATATAGTACTTATTAGCGTTAATATTATAGCTTGTCTACTAATTTGCATAATGCTCGTAGTGAACACTGTGTCATAGAGGTTATAATTACACAGTGGGTATTACCGATATAATTATGTCCACTTAAAATGACGACTTACATTAAACTTACAACCGACGTGTATTATTTCGTTAGAAGGGTTACACAATGGTTTTAGAATTGAGGGATTTCATAATACGTTGGATATAGCTGCAGAAAATGTAAAACTTATTTTCTAACACGAAAACTACTTAAAATGCAATTACCGCGATACTAAACTGGAACAGCTAATTTATTATTACAACTCTAATGAGTAGAAATAAACATATCGAGATTGTATTATTTTTTACTGAACAGGTTTTGAGGAGCAGTAAAATATTTTCAAAAAAAAGTTTATTAATTTTCATTCCAATTTTATATTATATGCAGATCACTTTCAACTGATCATTGTGATCACCGTGAACATTTATAAAATCAGTTGGTATGGCAACAAATTGTGAAATATTGGAGCAATGAGTCTACTCTGAAGAGTGTGGTGTTTAATCACACACTCAAACATGATTTTAATTTTAGGGGCGTTTTAACTTCGCGATTCTGTTGAATAAGATTTTTCATGAACCGAACAAAATCCAAATCCATTATTATGTTTGTAAGACTCATGGAGATGTTTTGTACAGTCGAAATGCATCTTTACTACAATAATGGTGAACATTTTGTCAGTTTTGGAACTGTTGTACAATTGGTTCCTGTAGTAAAGACAACTCCCCGTGATTTAATGCGTCAGATGGTCATAGCGTCACGGTGTCATTGTTAACAAACAAGCGTCTACACATGAGCCTTTGGGTTTTTTCGTGTGTTGTCATCGTCGCTTGGGACCCAATTCCCGCGCGTGCGTAGGTGACGACCCTCTCGCTTTAAAATGATATAATTGTATACATAGACGCGAATTTTGGTTATCATGGACTATTTTTTATAATATAGGTTTTAAATATATATTACACCAACAATTATACTTTATAATTGCGTTATAATAAACTGTAAAATGTTTCATGTTGAATAAGCGTGAGATGCACATGGCCGCCGAGATAACGCTGCACGCGAGAGCCACGAGACTTGGCTTTTGCTACACAAATAGTGTTCCATTAATCACTATCATCGCGTCAACTGACTCAGTGATGTATTTGGAACTATGAACACAATGACGAAAAGGCATGAAACCCTATTTGAGGGCAAAAATAATCTTCGTTCCCACCACGAGATATTGGCGGCCATTTTCATTTAGGATATATTGCCAATTAATTTTTACTGATTTCCACATGGATAATGAGTAGGCTTCTTATATTTTAATGAATCAGGAATTATACTATTCCATGATTGGTTCGAGTCATAGGTAGAATAATATCAAAAATGACTTTTGTACGTCTGTGAAACGCGTTAATTCTGCAGGCTAGTGTTAACTTCTATTTGAATATTATTTCTGTTGAGTTAGGCGAAAAATATATGACATCGAGAAAATTCCTCCCTGACAGTGTGCATGGTCCTAGCAACTCTACTATAAACCAATTTGTTTTACTTGCCTGAATCCTTTGTATTTAGCGAGATGTGTATTTAGTAGGGTGTGTATTTGTACATATTGTGTATGAAATTAGATTTGTCTCAGTAGTTTTGCACTTGTGTATGTGTGGTTTATAAATGCTGTATACACCCATTCCAGTAGTTGGAGATAAAATTCTATACTATGAGAGAGACGACGGCATTTAGTTCGATATGGTAGTTTCCATATACTGACGATTCTGCCCGATTTGCTCCTGTTCTACACGCATTATTTTCCAGCAACCCAGAATCTTTGAATTACATGCAATATAATTTTGTTTTATTTTATTTCATCAACTTGTATACGATTTTATACAGATTCTTTTTCACTCTACTCTTCTCCTCCGCCTCTCTTCCAAGTTCCTCCTCCTCCTCCCTCCTCCTCCTCCTCCTGACAATGTTGAAGCTATAACAAGTATAAGATCAATAATTCAATATAACGTAGAGCAAACAAACGTTCTTAATTACAAAATGTCATCAATCGCAGATAGTTTTGTCAATTTTCAAGTTAATACATTCAGATTTCTAGTGATTCTGGCCAGTTATTATAGTCAAAGCTTGCCGGGTGTGTTCCATGATCAGTGGCGGTGGCACCGGGTGGGGGTGTCCCCCGGGCCCCGACAAAAATGCGCAACCATTGTGAGGGATGGTGAGCGACTGGAGGGATGGTTACACAGGTACGTACGGATGGTATAAGGATATAAATGATATTTTAGATGTATGAATGTAAAACAAGTTTTTTTTATTTTATGAGCAGTCTGTGAGCTTTCAAAGATAACGTTCGATTTCAATAATACAGAATCAGTATTTGCGGAACAAAATTGAAGCTGATATACTAGTAGTAAAATAACCGGAAGTGGATTTACGTCTATTCGACCCCACTTCGCGCGTATCGTAGCTAAGCAACCAGAGAACTTCGGGGACTTCGAAATTCTAAACCCCATTAATTCAACAATAAAACACACCTGTGGTTTATACATTTTATAAACGTGAAACAGAATATGTGTTGTTTCGGAAGGTTGCGAGCGAAATAACATTTCCTTTGCCTCAGCTACGAAGCATAATTAACCTTCACAGCGTCGGTGCAGAAAGAATTCTTGTGTGGTTGATCTTTTCAGCGGAACGGAATATTACAGGTAATAAACCGTTTGCGAGTTCTTTGTGGGCCAGATATTCTGTCTGATTACGTCAACAGCTTTGATATTTATTCATTACATAAAATGTCGCCATCTTTTGCATACAATCACGTGTTTAAACTAAATGCAACGTTTTCAGGAGTTCACGGCTTTTCATATCGCATATTTACCTGTTATGCTGAGATGTGGTGTGATAGATATGGAATACGATTTTATTTCAATTGAACTTGCTCTGAACGAGTGTATAACGAACTCAAGCAAATATGCCGCGTGATAATGAAAACAGTGAGCTGTGGGTTGAGAACTAATATGGTTAAAGGACGGGAGTCGTCGTGCCGCGTCCTGTTCGATATGGGACTCATAGCGACGTATACAACGCGTGTAAAATACATTGTTTATTTACATGAAATTCGAACACGCGCTGCGCGACGACCACCGCGCTTTAATATATTATCACACAAAATAAGAGTGGGAACGATATTTAAGGCTACACAAGGCAATTTACATCTGGCAATTGTTGGACACCAATTGATATACGTTAAAAATTAACAAATGAGAATCGATCGTCGCATTTCAATATCTAAGCATACCACAATCACCGCGTTCTAATGCAGTCGAAATGAACATACAACCGAATTACTACATTGATTAGAATCACAATGAAACGAGTATCTGTCGATAACGGGGGAATACAAACTAATGAAAATCCTCCAAACCGGAAACTCATCTAGTAAGTTTCTATCGTGGATATTATTGATTTAATTTCGTCTGTTTGTTTGAGCTCATTTGTAGCCACGGTTATTATTTCATTTGAAAAAATTATCGCAAATATTAACAATCATTCTAATAATAATAATAATGAAATTATATATATATTGATTATTACTCTAATACAGAGGCCCCTCGCTAAATCGCGGGTGTCGGGATCCAAGCAAAAACTGAGACTTATCAAGGGTAGCGAATTGCCGAGGGGTGTCTCGTGTAAGGGGGGTTTATGCATTGAAACTAGATAAAAAGCACATGTACACATATGGGTTTATTTATAGTACGTTTTCTTTATTGAACAACATCACAGCTTCCATGTCCACATGGATTCAACTCATTGTAGTGAGTTTTAGAGAACTTTATCAAGGAAGTACGTAAAGCTGAGAAGTATATAAAGTTGCGCATTCAAGAGTTCCCTTTATGATAAATTTGCTTAGGGAAAT